TTACCATCAAGGATCCATCTGGCGGGAGCAACATTGAAGCATCGCTCTCTATGACCCTGGAATGCACGGTGACCAAGACACTCAAAGTTAGCGATCACTGGCAGCCGGTGTACCTCTTGTATGAAGGTGGCAGCGCCACTAGGATCTTGAAGGCAAATCAAGAAATGGACATCCCCAACAACCAGTAAGGTGTCCGTGATGTCCTCCATGGCTTGATGAGGACATTCATGTGGCTACAGCAACTCAACCTCATCGATGAGTAGTGGGAGGACATCCTTCCTGAGCCCAAGGTTCCTGAATGATGGCCCTGGCGCACGAGGCCTGTTGGGATGGTTGCATCGCCCACATGACGCTTGAGCTTTGGGTTGACAAACAATTGATGTTCATCACGTCCAAGGCGCTCTTGATGCCTGCGCGGAGGCGAAGGCAGCACCAACAGGGTGTCAGGACTACAACATCTGCCTAGGGGATGAAACATCTAATCCTATGATCGGCCATGTTGTGGAAATGCCCAACTGCGACCATGCATTCCACCACAAGTGCATCACCAAGTGGTTCAGCCAGAGATCCACCTGCCTGATGTGCTGATGAGATTGGTCTATGTATCTTGACCCGGTAGTGCAGAGATTCCTCTCGCACTTCATCGAAGAAGATTATTGATTAAGCTCATTGTTTTTTGTTGTATAAAATACTTGTTACACATCATACTTCTCTATATATATTTGGTCAAAATTCAGAATCTTTGAGTAAATATCCACTCTGACCACCATGATCTCATCCGCAACACCGCTTGTTTTCCTTCCTTCCTGGAGCTCTCCCATTCCCTCTGTAGATCTAAACCATGAGGAACATGCGGTTGCCTTCTCGTACATGTGCTCAACACATAAAATACATGACTTCGTGCCATCAGGCCAGACACCCAAGGAAACAAAAAACAAACAGAAACCGAGGAAACTTCATCTACTACAACATCTTCATTGTCTAATGCATTCAAAAAAACAGCAGGCGGACTTTCTTGCTTGTTCAGTAACATTTCAACACTAATGACTCTTTTTTCTACATTAGATTAAGGCCAGACTTGCTCCTCTATTCAAGGTTTTGGCAAGTTTAACAAAGTTTGACACAAACATGTAAATAACACAACATACTATATTAGCAAGGGTTCCTACTACATGAGCTCAACACATACACTACATGACTTTGTGCTATCCCACAGATCAAAGCCAGTCATGGCTACTACTACTATAGTACTATTGATACTACTAGTACTACTGATATAGGACAATGAACTTTTGACACATATGCTTTTACTATTGACATATTTCCACATGTATTGGAGACTTAGTGTTTTGTCGGACATATACATGAAATACACGAGAAGTATGGTCAAAGTGCACAAACCAGAAAACGTAAAGCAGATTCTACAAGAGCCCACCTACACTACCAAATTTGGGCCAAGCACTGGCGTAGGAGTGGCCTAGGCCCACTCAGGAACCTATCACATGAAGGTGGTGGTGAAGCGGGCTAGGCCAGGTGTGGGCGCACCGCCCCTAGCATAGCCTGGCCCCACCTCACTCTAGTGGTTCATTAATGCCATGTAGAGGTGGTTCAGCATTGTTTCCTAATTTATCTCCCCCCAAACCAACCTCAAGAATGTATAAGTAGGGGTAGTGCTCACCATTCAACACACACCTCATTTGCAACCTCTACCTCACTACCTCATGTTGTACTCTTTTTACTTTTAGTAGTATTTTGTGAGCTACCAAAGCTATCAAGGAGAGCTTGGCTCCTTGGATGAAGAGAAACAACTTGGTATGAATACGATGAAGATTTCTTCCAAAGTCTTGCTCTCATATTATCGATATAGTTGTGCAATAGAACTAGAGTATTGTTTTCATGTTATAATCTTAACATATGAACTAACATATAGTTTGTGTGTTATGAGCTTAACATATAGAACTTTATGCTTAATCATTCATACAACTTGTATGAGCAGAGGTAGAGCTATGTTGGGGTGGTGGTTCATCATTCCTTTGGGTTTGCCCATATCCTATGCTGGTCGATCCATAGGGTCGCAGTCCTAGGGGGATATGGGTAGTTTCTTTGTACATGGGGATGGTGCCCAGGTGCACGGCAACCTTCAGATATGATGTTACTCCCCGGTTGAGGGGTTGGCGGTAGGTGGTGATAGCCCTGTTTCTCCCTTGTAATCCCTCACGTTCGAGTATTGTGTAGGAGTCTTAAAGTCTCCATGGCTTGCTGGTTGACTAGTGCCCGGAGTTCTCCCCATCCATCTTATACTTAGTTCTAGCTTTAACTATGTAATTTGTATGATCATCAATTGTTCTTTGCATGGCTATATTAGAACATGCCTGCTCCACTTAGGAACATTCTTTTATTCTTTGTTTTCCTTTTATCCTTGAGGTTGGCCTAGATGTGTGTCCACTATCATTGAAATACCCTTTTTACCCCTATCATAGACTATTGGTTTGCTATGCAAGTATGTAATCTTGTTCATAACCATGCTAGGCTCTTACACATTGCCTCCTTTAGGAAAATATAAATAATGATACCTTGAATACTTCTGGGTGAAATGCTACAACGTTAAATCCATGCGCTTGCGGATATTATTTCTATAATCGTTAAGAACTATCATGTTGGTGTTTCTTGGCGGCATTCCTAAGATTTATCCAAATCTTAGTGATGGTGCTAAGAAATACCAATAGACATTTCTAGTGTCATTGCCAGGAATGGATTCCATCTCCATACTTGGTGATTGCACTAAGAAACGCCAATAAGCATTTCTGGCGCCGTTGTCGGGGAGGGCATAGGTTAAAAGAATCTAGTAGGACATGATCATGATCACATGGATGTAATGGTAGCCATAGTTTATGTAGGCTAACTCTGCTTGTTTTCTCCCTATTGTGGATGAAAACAGGATAGTGTATGACCGATTTTGTCTTGCTAGAAAACTATACCGATAATCTAGAGGCGCTCCTAAGGAAGAATAGGTCCCGTACCACTTCTTCCTCCGCTACTCTACTGGTAGTAGAACTAGTCACCCCCACACCATCTGCTACTACCGCTACGGCCAAGTCACTTCACGCCTACTCCTTCCTCGCTATTGCCAATGTGCCTGTTGGGCCCACTGTCAACACGGGCACCAGAAACTTTGAGCTCCAGACTGGCATAATCACCATGGTGCAGGCAAACCAGTTTTGTGGTTTGCCAAGCAAGGATGCAAGTGCACACTTGCAACACTTCCTTGAGCTGTAAGACACCATCATCATCAAAGACGTCACACCAGCAAGCATCAGGCTCTGTCTGTTTCCCTTCTCCCTCGTGGGAAGGTGAAATAGTGGTTTTACCAGGAAAAGGAAGCAGTCAACATGTGGGACAAATGTTCCATGGTGTTCCTCGTGAAGTTTTTCCCCATGGGCAAAACCAATGCCCTGAGGGACAAAATTTCTAATTTCCAACAAAACTCCATAGAAACTATCCTCGAGGCATTGGAGAGGCTGCAGGATTACATCCAGGCATGCCCGCACCACAGGATAGAGAATTGGCTCGTGCTTCAAAACTTCTAAGGTGGGCTAACGCCCATGTTGAAGGGCACATAGATGCCGCTGCTAGAGGAGCCTTTCTTTCCCTCACCATCAATGAAGCTATGGCTCTCATCAAGAAGATGGTGTCCAATCAAAGCTGGGGGGAGGAAAGAAAACAACAAAAAGGCATGCATACCGTGAAGGAGGCGGATATGCTTGCCACAAAAATGGACTTATTGTTGAAAAGACTAGACGAACGGGCCCACGAAAAATAAGCTATGAAAGGCAACATCCAAGCCATAGACTCGCAAATGACTTGCAAGGTTTGTGGAAATGTCGGACACTTGGGGAATGACTGCCCCAAAACCCGTGAACATGCTGCATTCATCAATAACGGGTTCTGGTAGAACAATAATGGGTGGAACAATCAATCCTACCCCAAGGAGGTAATAATAATTACAATTTAAATTTCAATTCCAATCAACCCTCCTTGAAGGACATAGTTCTAGGTCAAGCTAAAATTAATGAAAATATCACTACAAAGTTAATGTTTAATGACAAAATGATTAGAAATATAAATTCTAAACTTGAAAATTTATCCTCCTCTATTAAGAATCAATTAAGTTTTAATAACATGATCGAAACACAAATTGCTCAAATAGCCTATTCCTGCCAACCATTCGAGGAAAATCCTAGGGCAACCCGAGAATCCCCCCGAGTTTGTTCATCTAGCTGCGGAGCAATAAAGGAGGAGAAGTCTTACCAATGGACTATAAATGTCGAGCCCTTACCGAAGGTAAATTGGTAGTTATCTTTTAAAAATTCAAAATTTCAAAATTTCAAAAAAAAAATTAAAATACAAAATTTAAAATTTTCCTTCAAAATCAACTTTTTAGAAAAATAAAACAAAAATCATTTTTTGATAGTATAGGCTTTTCTCTTATCATTTCTCATTTGGAAAATATTTATGAAAATTCAAAATATAATAAAAGCTTTGTTGGAAAATTAATTTCATGAGCAAAATTTTGAAACCAAGGGAAGCACCAATCGCTACATCTTCAAAATGGTCGTTGGGAGCTACTGGCCAATGGGGGGCAACAGTGGGCCCACCACTAGTGCGGGCGCACTAGGGGTGTGGCTGCACCCTGCCTACCACCTCTGGCGTTGCTGCTGCTCCAACGACAACTAGCCGTTGCCCCTCCCCTCTCGGCCAATGCTTCACACTATAAGTAGGAGAGCCAAGGTTGAGGCCCTCCTCACCCTCACACTCTCCATTTTTCACTCCCTCTCACTCTCTTTGCTTCACCACTTGCAAAAATATTTTCCACAAGCTTTGATAAGAAAGAAAACTCTAGAGAATTTCCTTGCTCATCGCGACCAAGCCAAACTCGCAGGTTGTTCGATTTATTTTGGCTAACATAGCCCCATTCTCGAGCTTGTTGTGTTGTTTTTGCCATGGGCAAGTTCAGAAGGAAGCTCATTGATGCACTCAAGAAGGTCACAAGGGTGAGCTCAAGTTGCTCCCGTGGAAGCTCAAGCACATGCTCCACCGAGCCCAAGGAGAGCCCTATGCATGAAGATGAAGAAACGGTGCTGATGGAAGAAGAGAAGAGCAAGAACAACGGATGGAGGGAGAATGGGAGATGCAGGCGTACAACCTCATCAAGGACCATGAGTTCATCCACACTCTGGCATATGACCTCGACCTCCTCAAAAAGATAGGTATGGACACCGAATTCTCCACTATTTGAAAAGCCATTGGATGGGAGAACGTTGCTCCTGATCGACGAGCAAGGTTCTCGCCTCCTAACGATTCAATTTTATGTTCTTTGCAAGAAGTTGAGGGCGGGATTACTTTCCATCTTTTTGAGCAAGAATATTATCTTACATGGAGAAATCTCAATTCTCACTTAGGCTTTAGTACAAAATGCTCAATTGACTTAGATCATGCTCTCAAAAGTTTTAATCACCATGTGTCAAAGATATTGGCTAGGGGTACCTACACCACCCATATATTTGACCACCACCAAGATATTGTCCCCATAGCCATCAAGGAGGAGGCCTGCAAGGGCTGACACGATCAACTAGCATGGTGATCAAGGCAAACCAGGGTGGGCATATCTGGATGATAGCTAGGATCAATCTGTTGTAACAAATTAGGAACACAATCTTTTAGCCTGATCACCCTCTTTATAACCCTACCTCTCTACCTATATAAAGGAGGGTAGGGACCTTAGGCACGGGATCCATCTTCCTTCAATTCCATCTACACGTAGCTAGGAGCAACAACCCATGTAATTGAGCATATGAATACAAGAGTAGCCGCACCACTAGAGTAGGGATTAGTGCACACCATGCCCCAAACCAGTATAAATCTCTGTGTCTCATGTGCTACCATCTGATTCTATCTATGCGCTCACGTTGTTGGATATTGCCAGAGGAAAACAATCCAATAGTTGGTGCGCCAGGTAGGGGCCTTTTGTGTTCAGAATTGTTTTTGTGTTTTAGATGGGAATTTTTTTGACTTCATCGATGAACCAGAGATGCAGCCGAGAACAAGGATCGTCTTTGGCATGCTCTACTTCATCACCGATCGGTTTGGGGACCTATGCCTATAGGAGCCCAAGCTGACCGAACAGGAGGAGCAGTAGTCGCCCTAGATCTAACCTTTTGCCGATAGACTAGAGGAGGCTATCGATGAAGGACCGCTTGCCATCGCTCTTCATCTAACCCACCACGGTCAGCTTTTCGCTGAACCCATCCAAGTGCCTAGACTCAACACCACTCTTTTCCTTTGCAAGATCAAGGATCTAGTCCCAACAATGGATACGTAACCCAATCTGATTCATTCCTGACCCTCGAGAGTGCCAACGTACGTGGTGATGACTCACTCGATCTAGCTTTTTTAGGCTATCACACCACCTTTCGGATCTCCTACAGAGAATCAAAAAAACCCGCGTCATACTGATAAGAATCATAGCGATGATGGCTTCGACTCGAACCTAGTCGGGGTCACCATCCACAATCTTAGCCAGGGTAGCACCATCCATGAACAATTGGACCACTGCGATGAGAGCAATCAGTGCCATGACATTGTAGCCGCCAAACTCATCAAAACAGCGGTTTCATGCCTTTCTCTTTATGGCCACAACTGGCCACATGGAGTTAATCACACGGATGTTGATGATGGTGACATCATCTCGCATACACGCAGTTGCTATCTCGGTGCGAATGAACATGGGGGGAACAGGTACATCACCCCCGATTGTGCCCCCATGATCATTTCGAGTTTGGTTATGCAGCGCCTTATGAGACCAGCCAGCAAGCCCGGGATCATCTGCTTAATCACAACGACATGTTAGCAGATGAAAATTGGAAACTACGAGGTCAGCTCTAATAGCAGAATGCATCTCGGGGCCATCAGGCCCACAATGACATTCTACGAGCAGCTCTGGTGTTTTTTAACGCTGAGCAAAACTTGGCCAAGGCAATGAGGGAAGCAGCGGCAATGCCGCAACCATCCACAGAAGAGGGCTGACAAGCTTTCCAAAGGATTCAAGAGCTGGTAGCGGCCACTACCGACCACATACCAGCACCCAGTGATGCATTTGCCACATGTAGCCATTCACCCCAACACTTGGGGGCTCAACCGCCGCACCGATCTAATAGATCCCCAGCCACAATCCCGAATGCCGCCAAGGTCCTGCCCTACAACGGAGCAATAATGGTGGTGGATAGGGAGGTGGTGGGTGAGGAGGTGGCACCAGAGGGCACTCTACCAATGGAGGGAGTCACGAAATCAACGAGGCTAATGATGATTCAGGGAGTAGCTATTGCTCTTACAGTGAGGGCGATGCCCATCACGACGGGAGAAAACCCAGGAACTGACCCAAACCGGCGCCACACGTCACCGAGGTTGATCCCTATGACTTGGTAGGAACCCTGTGTTCGGATACCAAATCCTATCAGCCCCAACGCCCCATAGGTTTCGTGCTCCGAACATTGAGAAATACGACAGTGAGATATACCCAAAGGTTTGGCTGGTAAACTACCAACTCGCCATGAAAGTGGCATCCATACCGGACACGTTTTTCATGATTCTATATCATTCAATCTACCTCACTAACTCCACCAAAAACTGGCTAAACCACCTTTGGGAAGGCATGATCAAGCAATGGACTGACCTCAAAAAAGCATTATGTAATCACTTTGAGGGGGCTTATACTAAGCCAGGCACCTCGTTGAACCTCCTAGGATGCAAATGCAAGACTAGCAAGAGTCTCCGTGATTACATAAAGCACTTTACATAGCGCAAGAATACACTTGAGGACATCCCCGATGCTACAATCGTCACCTCCTTTACCGCCGGCGTCGACAGCGAACCCCTTATTCGGGACATTGGGTGAAGGAAGAACATTAGTCTCTACGACATGTTCGCCTTAGCCCATGAGCACACTAATGGTGAAGATTGCTTGAACACCAGTAATAGCAAATATAAATCATGACTCACCAACGATGTGGACCAATCCTCACTAACAAAGAACCATCATAAGCGTAGAGGCGAGCTCATGGACAACGTCGAGAAACAAGAAGGCAATAAATCCAAACAAAGCTATGGAGGCCGTGCAAACTTTTATGAGATCATGAACCAGACATGTCAAAACCATGGCTTCCTGGTGAATCACTTGGCTAGGGACTACCATACTTGCCAACATTAGATCATTGAAGCTAGCAAGGATAAGTCAAAGGGATGCTACCAAAAGAAGGGGAAGGACGATGCTGACGAGGATGACAAAGGTGGCTACCCCAACATTAAGGGCGTCATGATCATGTTCAGGGGGCTATAGGCCTACGAGGGCCACCGTCGTGAAAAGGTAACCTGACGTCTCATCTTTGCCACTGCATCTACAGTTCCTGTTTATTTAAGATGGTTGGAGCTCCCGATCACCTTCAAAAGGGACAACCACCCTGATCATGTCATCAAGGACAAACATTCCCCATTGGTGGTTAGCGCAGTCGTGGGAGGCGTAAAATGACCAAAGTCCTTATGGATGTAGGAAGTGGCATAAACATCCTTTACAAGGATGTGTTCGAGAAGCTAAACATTGAGGCAAGCAAACTACGCCCCCCGCATTCTCTGTTCCATTAGATCATCCTCGGATGACAAGTTATGCCCCTTGGCATGACCACTCTATCTGTCATGTTCAGTGACCAGGTACACTACCACAAGGAGACACTCTCCTTTGAAGTCATAGACTTCGAGGATCCTTACCACGCCATCCTTGGGAGACCCTGCTATGCCAAATTCATGGCAATCCCTAGTTATGCCTCCCTCAAGTGCAAAATGCCAGGCCCCACGGTGTCATCACCATCGCGGGTAGCTTTCAAGATGCATACAAGTGCAAGAGGCTGGCTGTATATAGGCCTAACGGGATCTGATTCTAGATGAGCCAAAATATTCTTTTGAGGACAAATAGGAGGCAGGCTCAGGATTGCCCCGACACTCGCCCTGATCCCTAGAGCACCAGCTCACACCAGAACCCCTGGCTAGTGTTTTACCTCTCCATTCTACAGTTTCTACTTCACCGGTTACACCGGTGCCACCAAAGGCACCTGTTGGTATTTCTTAACATGAACAGAAATAATCCACAAGCACATGGAAGTACCGTTGTGGCACTTCACCCGAAAGTATTCAGGGTATCATATTTTCCATAGGGAATGGAAGTACTCTTATAGCTAATTCATCCAAGGACAACACAAGGGTAGAGCTGGTAGAGGTAAAGATGGATTCCTATGATTATAGGGTCTATGGATAGATAAACTCTACTATTACTTGCTCACTTCGGGCACCAGATCACACCTGGTCTGCCAAGCAAGGCTGGCCTATAGCCTACATCGAACCTGGACATGGGGGAATACAAGGGATGGGCATCGGTCCTTATTACTCTCCCTTACATCTCTCCCTCACATCTCTCCCTTATTACTCTACTATCTTTCTAGGGCCTAAGCCCTTGGAGTGATGCTCAAAAGAGGAGAAGCTCTTTGTCTTGTAGTGGTGTGTTGAATGAGAGGGAGTGATGGAGTATTTATAGGTTGAGAGGAGGAGTGGAGGACACTCAATGCGCCATGTCAGCAATCTGTGTGCCTCTTTACCACAGCCCTTGGATCAAATCATCATAGGATGGATGGTGAAGATGGAGTGGAGTAGTGTTTCCATGCTTGCCTTCCTATCTTGAGCAAACTGCCATCCTCTGTGCCAAGTCTTTTGTGAAGCACATGCAACCAACGTTTGGAGAGGCGGCATGGGTTAGCTGACCAAATTTTAGGCCGAACAGAGCTAGTGAGGGGTCGACCACCCCCAACTAAGGCCAATTTAGCCCATCTTTGGTGGGTGATCTCCTTTGGGCTTCTAGAGTGGGCCTATGTTGTGCTTTCATGGAGATATGGTGATTTGATTTGGGTTTGCCCAAAATTTCCTCTCTTTTGGGTCCTATTTTGCCTAACTGTGGGCCTCCTCACCCTTTGTGCTTGTGTTGGGTGTCTATAACATTGTATTTCTTGTATACTTTAAGCCAATTTTTGTACAATCCTGACATATCCTCCTACAAATGAATAATCACCCAAACTCATGGAATTGATTAGTTATAAGTCCTAATTCTAAGTTTGGTGTTTATTTTAATAGTTTTTTATATGAAAGTTGGCGGTTAGAAATTGGAGTTAGGGACCACCAACAAGCTCCCCCACACTTAGCCCTTTGCTTGTCCTTGAGCAAAGCTTAGAGATGAAGGTAATCATGAGCATAACATCCTACAATATATGGCTTACACGAAAGTTATTCCAACATGTTCTTTATACAAGTGGGATTTGTGGCATAAGCTAACATGTTTTCTTGGGTTGTTGAAAAGCGGAGCAGTTCTTGAAACAAAGTCATCTTCCCAATTTCACATCTTAGCAACTTGGAGTTTTGGACGTTTTTCTCAAGAAAAAGTATAGTTCACTTTATACTCCTCAAATGGCACTCTCAACTCACTCAATGGTGTACAAATCCTTACCAAGGCATAGCAATGTTTTGCCTTCTTTTATTTTCTCCTACTTCTAAAGGTTTTTGTGGAGCTTTAGGTAGGGATAGACAAAATAGCATACTTGTATTGCATATGTTGTAAAGTCAAATCAAGGATCCATGGAGAGAAGTGCCATACTCTTAGATCAAGATGTGCATGTGTGTGGAAAAAGGTAAACTAAAGCTATACTCCTTTACTAGATATGATCTCTTTCTATAACTTATTATTTTGAAACATGGCTATCTTTCTTCCTTCTCTAAGCCTTCATGTGCTCATCATTTTTTTACTTGGACCTTCATGTGTCCATTTTTTACTTGGACCTTCATGTATCCATTTTTTTTACTTTTTTTGATAGCCCATGTCTCTTCTTCTAAACCACATATTTAGAGAGAGATCATTATCTTTTTAGAACATGGAGTATTTACCTAACAAAGGTTTTTTTGTGTCTACTCCAAGTGTAGGAGCAGAGTTTTTGGTGATGAAAGCTTGTTTTTATGTACTCCTAGTGTAGGAGCAGCATGTATATGTGGGTGTACGTGATCTTGATCTTGGGAGCATGATAAATCTCTCAACAAGGGTCAACAAGACTTGACCAAACTCAACACAATAACAAGCATCTTATGTGAAGGCTTAAAACTTGCTAGATGTTATATTTAGCTTTGGTAGGAATTGCTCACCAAATGAGGTGTATGGTTTTGTAACATTTTTATCAAAACAAATTCTCCAAGTACTTTGAATAGAAATGGTATGATTTCGAAGTCAGAACTATATCACACCTCACAACAACTTAGTCAACATGATTGTCCTATTAGAATATTTCCCCACAAACATAAGTGTATGTATATGGAACAAACTTTATGCAAGCTTTTATCTTAAACATGTTATGAATAGGTTACTTTTTAAAATTTTAAATAAAGTGTGGTTTGTTGAATTGCATAGGGGCATTGTTCATTAGGAGGAGATAGCAGGGGTAAATTGAGTTTAATTTTAGTGATTAAGATTTGTATTTGTTCAAACTCAAAATTGGAGGGAGTTGAGGGTTGTGTTGCACAAACTATTGTTGAATAAGGAGCTAAGTCAGTGGTGGTTTGACTAAACCAAAGGTTCAGCCAACCTTCTCTAGAGCCATCTGTTCCGTCCTTCTGCAAGTTGGATCATTCGATGTTATGCAATGTGTTGGTGGGAGATCTCGAATGTGTGTTAGTTATGTCTGAGAGATCTCCCCCACACTTATTCTTGTACCTGCTTTTTATTTAACAAAGAGAAACAAAAAGGAAACAAACAAGGGTTCTACTAGTTGGAATATTGAAGAGCCTAAATTTTATTAATTACTTTTATTTTTTGTTATTTATTATTACTATTATTATTATTTTTTTACTTTATTTTATGTGTTCACCCAACTTTTTATCATTTAGCATAAACAAGACTAAGGTAAAGTTTGCAAAAATAAACATAGCCTTGATTTATCTCCATAGTAGATTACTTCTATTGTTTATGAAAGTAATACTTTAAGTTCATTAACCAAAATTTAACACCATGTTAAGTTTTGATTAAACAAGGACATTTTAACCTAAGCACCATGTTTAATTTAAAAAGCCTATGGATATACCGTATACGAGTACACCCAAACCAGAGCATATGACATAAACAAGAGAGGCATGAATTTGTATGATCTCATGGAGACAAGTATGAGTAAAAAGAGTTAGTGAATCATTATTTACCTTTGCATACTTGAGTGTACTTATCGACCGCATATGTGAATGGACACTTTGATGTTGCTGCAGTGGTGGCTTTATCACATATGGTTTAGGTGAGCAAAGGTCTATAGAAGGAGAATCCTCCTTCTCTCTTTCTTTGTCTTTTCTTAGCTTCTTTA